TACAGTGATGGAGGGCAGCTTGAATCGGAAGCAGTCAGGGCCTATGTTCTCATGACAAGACAAGACAGGAGTGATTTGCGGGGGTTCTGTATAGGGTTGATGCTGTTCCGTCTCGCAGCTGTCGAGAAAAAAATCGTGGGTAAATGCCAGCTGTTGATTGGCAAGCTAGACAACGTTGTTCTGGTGGTGGGACTACGGCGGCGGGGGGCGTGTGAGGACAAAAGGTCACGAGGATGAGTAACGCGTGTACCTGACGAGCAGAGAATACACAAAGTATGTGTACTTGTGTATGGGTGATGTTGATGTATGTATAAGAGTGTGTATGCGGGATATACGTGGGAGTATATCTGTGCGTGTATGGCAATGTACGGTGAATCGACCAAGCACATGGGGCAGAGGGCCTGGTTTCGTCACTGCGGCCCACCCGAGACGCCAGCTACGGTGGGCGCTTTGTGCACTGCTTGACGCGACCAGATACGCGCTTCACCGCGGCCATCGCCATCCACCCCCGCGACATCCCACCACACAAATCCGCAACCATGGGCAAGCTTGTGCGGCTCGAGATATACAGTATGTTGTGCTTCTTAGCGCACGCGATGTGCTCTACTAATTTGTCCAGACTTCAAGTCGTACCGGGGACGGCATACGCTGCTCTTTGGCGACTCGTACTTCACCTCAATCATCGGCCCCAATGGATCCGGAAAGTCAAACAGCATGGATGCCATCTCCTTTGTCCTGGGAGTTCGGTCGTCTCACCTGCGCTCGGATAAGCTGAAGGATATGGTGTATCGCGGCAGGATTATCCAGGAAGCACATATTGCTGCAGACGGCACCGCAACTGAAGCCGCCGACTCCAATGGAGCCTCCAATGGCGATTCCCAGGAGAATGGTGAATCGCAGCCAAGCAGCCAGCGCATCGACCCCCAGAACGCATGGGTCAAGGCTGTCTTTGAGGACGACGCAGAGCAAACGCACGAGTGGCAGCGCACCATCACCAGCTCAGGGTCCAGTGAATATCGCATCAACAACCGGGTCGTGACACAGAAGCAGTACAATGACGCGTTGGAAGAGCATAGCATCCTGGTCAAGGCGAGAAACTTTCTTGTCTTCCAGGGAGACGTTGAAAAGCTTGCTACGACGGCACCTGAGCAGCTCACCCTGCAAGTTGAGCGCATCTCGGGCAGTTTGGAGCAAAAGGCCGAGTACGATCGCCTCAAGGAAGAGTCCGAGGCCGCAACCGAAGATAATGCCAAGCATCTCCACGAACGTCGCGCAATCAATGGAGAACTCAAGACATACCAGGACCAAAAGGCCGAAGCTGACGAGTACGAGAAGAAGCTGGCCGAGCGAGACCAAGCTGTTGTCACAAAGAACCTGTGGAAGCTCTATCTCTACGAGCAGGTCATGGAGAGGGCGAGGAGCAAGATTGCAAGCCACCAGGAGGAGCTCAAGGAGCACAAGCGCAGCGTAGAAAAGTACCACCAGCGACACGAGGCGGAAAGGCAAGCTGAGGCCAAGATCAGGCGAGATCTAGCCAAGACTGACCAAAACACAAAAGCCAAAGAAAAGGAAATAGAGGATACCTCGAATGAGCTTGCGCCCATTGAAGAGAAGATTCGTCTTTCCAACGAAACCCGCCGAAAGTATGAAAGCAGGATCGATGAGCTCAGGAAGAAGCGAGACGCCGAAAAGAAAGCCGTCGAAAAGTGCCAAAAGGACCTTGAGCTTGTGCAAAAGGCTGAGAAGAAATGGGAGGATGACTTCAAAGCTGCTGCCCAGAACCAAGGACGCGAGCTTTCTGAACAAGACCTCCAAGAATACGGCCGCCTGCGCAGCGAAGTTTTGAAGCGCACCCACGGCGACCAAATGCAAATCGACAAGCTTAAGCGAGAGGTTGAGACGGATAGAGATCATGTCAGGAACCTGCAGCAGAGTGTTGAAAGCCACGAAAAGGCCATTGAGAGACTTAACGCAGACATCAGTCAGCTCGAGGAGCGCCAGCGATCTTCCAAGACGCAGATTCAAGAGCTCGAAAGCGCGAGAGCCGCCAAGCAGCAAGAGCTGGACAGGCTTAGAGCGGACCGGAAGCAGATTGAGATGCAATACTACGAGAAGAACCAGCTGCTGCAGGAGGTCCTCAAGCAACTCAGCATAGTTGAAGGCAGCCGCCGCGAGTCAAGGAAGCAACAGGAGGCTCGCAGGACCATTGAGCGCCTCAAGACCCGCTTTGGGTCTGAGAAGGTGCATGGTCGATATAAGGATCTCATTACGCCTAAGATGCAAAAGTACCGCAAGGCCATAGGGCGCGTGCTTGGACACCAGATGGACACGGTTATTGTCGACACTGAAGCCACTGCCAAAGCATGTATCGATTATCTCAAGGCTGAGCGTATCGGCGTCATGTCTTTTAACCCTCTGGACTCGATCCAGATCCAAGCCGTCGACCCTCAGCTAAAGGGAATGCACGAAGGCATGCGTCTTGCCATTGACTGCATCAACTATGAACCCAAGCATGAGCGAGCCATGACAGCCGCATGTGGCAACACCATGATCTGTAACACAGAGAAGCTTGCAAAAGAGCTGAGGTACTCCAAGCGGATTGAGGTCAAGGCTGTCACTCTTGACGGTCGCGTCATCGGCAAGGGTGGTACACAGACAGGTGGTGAGCTTGATAGGGATGATGACTCGAGCGAGCAGCAGTGGGACGAGCGTGCCTACCAAACTCTAGTAGACAAGAGGAACAGGTATGAGGAGGAACTTCGTGCGCTCCCCAAGCAGGATCGTCAATACACTCAGGAGCAAACACTCGAGGTCGAGCTCCTTGATCTGCAGGAGCAGATCGCTCGCGCCAAGGAGGAAGCCAGAGCACTCAGCCGTAATATTGAGAGTGTGAAGAAGGAGCTTGCGCATCATAAGGCTGAGCTGAAGGGTGTTCGTCCCAACTACGATAAGCAGGCACAGCGATTGCAAAGTCGAGAAGACGAGCTTAGGCGCTACCAAGATACGGTTAACCAGGTCAATGACCAGGTCTTTGCCGCGTTCTGTCAGCGACTTGGCTATGCATCAATCCGCGACTACGAGGCCCAGCAGGGTACCGTTCAGCAAGAAGCGGCTGAAAAGCGTCTCGAGTTCAGCAAACAGCGTAGCAGACTTCAATACTTGATGAAGCAGGTTGACTCGTCGCTGCGCGGTGTTGAAGAGCGCCTCAAGCAAGCAGAGGATGAAATCAAACGCAAAACTGCAGACATCACGGAGCTTCAGGCCAAACAAGAAGAGCTTCAAAGTGCGAGGGATGTCCTTCAAGCTGGGCTGGAGACATTACAAGACAGGGGAAGGCGCTTGGAAGAGAAGCTTGCTGAACGAGTTGCTGCCGTCAAGGAAGCACGCCGCGCCCTAGATCAGCGGAACGAAAAGGTCAAGCACGTGCTCAAGGAGGTCGATGAAGAGGACGCAAAGATCAAATCGAGCGCAACCAACCGATACAATGTGCTCAAGGAATGCCGTGTCAACGAGATCAAGATCCCGCTCACCGAAGACTCGCGTCCATTGACATCGTTACCGATGACCGACATGCCGCGGCCGGACGCTGACGCAATGGACATTGACGAAGATCCCGATTCGACCCAGATTCAACCCGCAGAGGTCGATGATTACGGCATAGAAGTGGACTTCGAGGAGTTGGAAGAGGAGCTGAAGACGGAAATTGTTGAGATACTTGAGAGCGTGAGTATGCCCAATATGTACAGTTGCTTGCATCTTACTAACAATTTTCAGGAGGACGACCAAGATGAGCGCGTCCAATCTCAAGCAGGAACTCGCCTCAAGGCTGCAGAGTCCAAGCTGACTGATGTCATCACCAACCTCGAGACGGACATCAACAAGGCCACGCCAAATATGCGTGCTGCTGAGCGTCTTGCAGCCACGGAAACACGCCTAAAGGCCATTGACGAGGCGTTCGCTGAGACACGTAAACGTGCAGCAGCAGCAAAGAAGGCCTTCGAAGAAGTCAAGACGAAGCGTTATGATCTTTTCATGAAGGCATTTAACCACATTTCAGAGAATATTGGTGGCACATACAAGGACCTGACAAAATCTCCACAGTTCCCGCTGGGAGGACAAGCGTATCTTGACATGGAGGACAGCACAGAGCCGTATCTTGCTGGCCTCAAGTACCATGCCATGCCGCCACTTAAGCGCTTCCGTGACATGGAGCATCTCTCTGGTGGTGAGAAGACGATTGCCGCGCTGGCTCTGCTGTTCGCTATCCACAGCTACCAGCCATCTCCCTTCTTTGTTCTCGACGAAGTCGACGCAGCGCTGGATAACGTCAACGTCAGCCGTGTGGCCAAGTATGTTCGTGAGCATGCTAGCCCTGGTATGCAGTTCATTGTCATTTCCCTCAAGGCGGGCTTCTTCCAAGAAAGTGAAACATTGGTTGGTGTTATGCGAGATCAAGGCAAGATGTCGAGTAAATACCTAAGTCTGGATGTAAGTCACCTCGGCTCTGCCTCATCCTTAGAATTGGATGCTAACATTGTTTCCAGCTCCGGAGGTATCAGCCCGCGTAGGCTCATAAAAACGAATATGCAACGTGATGTCGCTGTTGCTATGGCGACGATGGCTTTCTTCGTTACGACCTGGACATGGCGGTTTAATGTATTATCTCCTCATATGTTGTTTGCTCTATCGGATATGCAAAACTTTAAGTCACGATGTCTTCTCTTTGTCAAAAACAAATTGCTGTCCAAATTGCGTGTTGACGTGATGCGTACGCGTTATCGCGAGTTCCCATAATTAATTGAATAGGGTGGCTTATCGCATCATAGCTCCCTCAACGGACGTAAGCGGTGATTAAATGCGCGCTTTGCATGAATACCGGCTCCAAAACCCATGGCTCTGAGTCATCCGCTTAGCTAATGTGCAAATATATCTACATGTTTTCTGATTATCGCATGCTAGAGTTGGCCGCGTCTTGAGGTTGTCTGCACACCCTACCCTCAATGGCACTGAATGCCCCCCCGCCCCCAGGTGCATCTCTTGGCGAGACGACACCACTCCTAGGCAACCCACCTCCTGACTATGAGAGAGATATTGAACAACAAGCTAGCCATAGCGATTCTTTCAAGCATACGGGTCTCCCAGAAGTCCGAAAACGCATGAAATATATATTCCCAGCCTTAGCTATCGGTGTAAGCCCCCAACGCTCTTGAATCCATCTCTGGAGCACCTGAACAAGAAAAAGATATATGTATATAACTAACAATTGCATTCTAGGTCCTCCTCTCAGCCGCAGACCAGACCCTCATAGTAACTACCTATGGAACCATAGGAACAGACCTGCACGCCCTCTCCTCGACCTCCTGGATCGCAACCGGCTACTTCCTCACGCTCTCGGCCTTCCAGCCCCTCTACGGCAAACTCTGTGACATCTTCGGACGGAAACAATGCTTACTCTCCGCTTACCTGATTTTCGGCGTCGGATCCGTGGGATGCGGGCTAGCGCGTAATATCGGAGAGCTTATTGCCGCGCGGGCCTTTACGGGAGTAGGAGGGGGTGGGATGAGTGTTTGTACTACTGTGTTGATGAGCGATATCCTCGGGTTGAGGGAGAGGGGGACGTGGCAGGGTTATCTCAACTTGGTGTATGCGGTGGGTGCTTCTGCTGGGGCGCCGCTGGGCGGGCTGCTGGCGGACAGTATTGGATGGAGAGCAGCGTTTCTGGCACAGGGCCCCATGTGTGCTTTGGCTATGGTGGCTGTGGCGTTGGCGCTGGAGCTCCCAGAACGAGACGAGTCGCATTGGAAAGAGAAGGTTAAGAAGGTTGATTTTTTGGGGGCTGCGATATTGATTCTGGCGGTCTTCGGACTCCTTGTTGGGCTGGATCGCGGATCGAATGTTTCTTGGTCGGACCCGATTGCCATTGCTGGACTCTCCATGACACCGTTTTTCGGTGTGTTTGTTCTGGTAGAGAAGTATGTGGCGAGTAATCCGGTTGCGCCTGGTCACATTATTCTCAACAGGACGCTTTCTGCGTATTATTTCTGCAACTTCTTTTCGTTGGGGGGTTGGATAGCCGCAGTGTTCTACATTCCCCTCTACTGGCAAGTTATCGGCGACTACGACGCTTCGCACGCTGGGCTACTTCTCGTTCCCTCCATCATCCTCAGCGTCACGGGCTCGCTCTTTGGCGGCTTCTACATGAAGCGAACGGCAAGATACTACTGGATCACAGTTTCGGCATATACAGCACTTACGGCTGGTCTCTCGCTCATTTTGCTCTTCGCCGGGGTCCTGATAGAAAGCATCCCGCTTATGGTAGTGGGGACAACCATATGCTCTTTTGGTACCGGCATTGGTGTAACAACCACGCTTATTGGACTCATCGCAAACGCATCACATGCCGACCAGGCAGTTGCCACGGCATGTTCTTATCTGTTTCGCTCGCTCGGTTCGGTCTTTGGCATCTCGTTGTGCGCAACAGCATTCAATCAGACCCTGCGCAAGACCCTTCAGAGTGCACTGCAGGGTGATGACAACGCGACTGAGATCGCAGAGCGAGTAAGGGCTGGATTGTCTTACTACAGGGCTTTAGATCCTGTTTTAAAGAACATTGTACGAGAGTGCTACGGGAAGGCTACGAGAGTTGCACTGGGGGTTGCGATAGTGCTTGTAGCTGGGAGTGCACTTTTCGCGTGGTTTATCCACGAGAAGAGTTTGGAAGATAACAAGGCTGCAGCACCCGAGGCGGACGAGGCGGAGTAGTAGATCGGGGTCTTGGCAATATATGGAGAGTTTGGGGGTAAAGTGTGGAACGACCCAATGGTAAGTGTAGTTGTACTAATATGTTATTGGAAATTGGACGCAGAATTTCGGACGGAGGCGACCGGCGCAGACTCATTCTTTACGCTCACTTGTTAAGCACTAGAACATCTCTCTTTTACCAGTGATGTGGACATTTTGACATCTCTACAATGAATAGAAAATTGGTACAATTGTCTTCGTTGAGAAGAAGCGGTGTGGTATTGTAGCAGCTTTCTCTTTGGGCATCAATGTGATTATGTGCAACAAAGTCACACAATATTGGCGCTGCTGAGCATACTAGCTAGTGGTGATCGTGAGAAATAGCTCAATGTACGTCGTGAGTAGCCTCGTAATGCTGGTTATCCCATACTGCAATAGCCCTAGTGTGAATGGTATTACATGGACTTCCCCCGTGTTTTCGGTCATCCACACTTTTCCAACCTCTTCTATTTCCCGCAGATATGACATCGACGTAACGTTCCAACGGTTTGCCTAAACATCATCCGTCATCTCTGTGCCTGCAACCGAAAATGTGGAAGAAAGCGCGCGCTAGTTGGGCACTAGCGACAGATGATCGACAACATGCCACGATCGATGTATGCAGTCGCACATTTGCTTCTCCCATTAGATTACCAGCCACCACTAGAAACAAAAGCCTCGATTACAATAGACCAGCGAGTTCAGAGCTACTGGTTGCGCTACGTACTGTGTAAGCGCCTCAATGACGTAGTGCCAAAGACTACATTTCTGAGTGCATCGCAAAAGAGGATGATGTCACCTGCAAGACGAAGCCACTCTCTGACCGCTCCGAACGCAAGGCGAACACTCTGGAGATAATCACGAAATCTCGGCCCGTCAATGCAACTCGCCTCCCCCATTTCCCATTCGAGACATGACTACAGCCCGATAATGTCCGCTTTCGGCCCTTGTTACACCCGTCGGGTCCTAGACAAGTAATCGACCGTTAATCACACCACAGGGTCTACGCACTACTGCTATCCTTTGTCCCACAGCAATCCTCCGCCTGGGAATGACGTCGACTTCCCAATGAGCACGTTCCTGGTGCGGCCCGCGACTGTGGGTATGCCAATCAAAAAGAAAGCATGGGGCCACCAATGGCGCCTTGCCAGCTGTACACGGCCATCATTCAGCATAAGACCGTTCAGACCTGTAGGGATTGCATGGGGAATTTGTCCCCGTCGGAGCTTATGATGATCATGCAAGTGAACACGGGACTTGTTGCTTAGTCAATCCGTGTGCTTTAGACTAAAGAACTCCCCGTTGCTCTCCGTTGGTTTAAGCTTTCCAGTCGTCAAGACCCTTTTTTTCGCCTCTCCTTAACGAGTAATTTGGTCCGATATCTGGGGTAAACAGCCCGAAGATATTGATAATAATTTCCGAAGCCGAAATGGGTATTGCTGTAAGTACCTGGTGCGTGGTCATAAGACATGTTGTCTATATCTACTTGCTGAAGCCTCGACAGAATCCCTCGGTTGATCCGGCAAACGTGGTGCAATCGCTTGTATACATTCTCTCGGGAGTGTTTGATGCTACTAGGGATTTATACCGCACTTTATCATTGAAGGAGCAGAGGGAATATGAACAGAGCCTCAGGAGCTACTCGAGAAGAGCCGAATATGTCTCGGATGAGAGGTTGGGCAGCGAAGAAGCTATCATGACAGACAAGTCGGCAATGGTCCGGCAGTTTGAGATTGGATATCACGCAATGGGCACCGAGTTTGCTATGGGTGATGGTATGCACTTCTCCGCCGTGCCATCCTGCGCATTCGTGTTTTGGATCTCGTTGCGACATCTTTTGAAGTCGAGTAACGCAAACCAACTAGTCGGCTAACGATACATGTACTAGTGACTGCGCAGACGGAGCTCCAGTGGCAGATTATCGCCCTGCAGAGCGTGCTGGTAAGCACTGCCATATATGGACCTGTGTCATCGGACTCAGCGGCTCATCAATTATCGAATATCAACGCGGCTTCGAGAGCAGCAGCAGCGAGATCGATTGAAGTCTTGATTGCACTACAGGACCGGCAGATGGATGAGCGCCCGGTTACACCGCGGTCGATGCATTCAGTTACTACAACTCGTTCGAGCCCGCATCATGCGCCTTCGCATGTGGCCTCTCATTTAACGTCCCATTCGACCAGCCATGCACCTTCACATGCGCCTTCTCACCACAGCTCTTATGCGCCGTCTGTTACTCCATCCCAGTCGATATCTTGCGTGCGACCGACGACGGTTGTCATAGTGCCATCACAGGCACCATCTCAAGTAGCGTCTCAAGCGCCCTCTAAAGTTCCGTCGAAAGTACCATCAAAAGTGCCGTCCAAAACACCTTCCCAAGCGCCATCTAAAGTACCATCCCAGGTACCATCCAAGGTACCATCTCATGCACCGTCGAGAGCTACATCAAAAGCACCGTCCAAAGCACCTTCGCACGCAGTATCCCAAGCACCATCGCGGGCCCTAACACTTCCTCAGCCACCCATTGGTCCCAACTCGGCTACCACCGTAACTGTCAAGCACGATGAACCCGTACACGTAAGAACCAACAGCCCAGTTAATACCACAATCCTCGATTGGCAAAGCAAAGTCGAGCCCGAGCCCTCCGTCACCGAAAGTACCTCCACCACTGTCCCCTCCCACCCAGGTCACCTCTACTGTCAATACGCCTACGACCTCCAGCGCGACCCCACGCAGCCCCTGCACCCCACGCTCCTCACCACCAAAGACGCACGCTGCCCCCACTGCGCAGGCTCCCTACACCTCTCCCCAGGAAAAGCCTGGGAAATTTCCAAATGGGCCGGCGATACCGAACGCACCTTCCAAGTCTCCAACCGCTTCGTAGTAAAATGCCACCGCGACGGGCCCGACGCGCAGTACTGCTGCGTTATTTGCTCCAAATACTCGGATTCCGACACTATTTGTGGGGACGTTAAGGCGCTGGTTAAGCATCTTTCGGATGAGCATGAGGTTAGGGAGTTAAAGCATGAGGAGGATATTGTCGAGGTCATTGAGCAGGTTGTGGTGATGGGGAAGAGGGATAGTGGTGTGGGTTACGCTGGTGGGGGAGCGGCGTCAAGGGGGAGTAGAAGTCGTAGGAGTGCGAGTGTGGTGTCAGGGAAGGGGAGGAGGAGGAAGAGTTTGGGGGTTTTGGAGAGGGAGATTGATGTTTTTGAAGTGAGGAGTGGGAGGAGATGATGATGATGGCGACGCTTTCTTTGAAACTATTTTTCTTTGAAAGTGTAAATTATGAGCAGATTTTGGGTAAGAGGATGAGAGGATGAGCTTGCGTGGGTGTGGTGAAAGGACTTATGATTGCGCTTTCATTACCTCTTTTTTGGAAGCATCTTGTGGCTTTAACGCAGATGAGATATGATTCAATGTAATTACGACGAAATACTATTTCGCTCTAACTGCGTCGCTGTTTTTTTTTGAACCAAATAATCCAATAATATGTTAATCTTCCAAAATACCCAACACGAGAGCCTTTCAATGCAATACTGCGCCCTGGCCGCTCATACGAAATATCCCTATCTTCTCTACCTCCTTTTCTAGTAAACACGCTGTTGAGGCAGCAGTCACAGACGAGCAGATTTAATCTGGCCGGCTTGATGTTTGCCACCCAGACTCGAATTCATTTCTTGGCCTTTTATCGTCTACCTGTTCAAATACTAAATCCAGAGAAGGTTATGAAATGCTAGATGTTTTGGCGTTTTGCGGATATGTACTGATGAGTTCCCTCCCGTCTACTCCTGGGTTGTATAGGACTAGCTCTTGGGAAATTAAGCAATTTCCCTTTATTCATGATAAAAATCGAGCGCATTTTAAGACATTGTCGAGGGATTTCGTGTGCTGCGTTATCAACAGCTGCATACATAGGGAGTTGAGAAATGATGGGAATTAAACTTTATCTTTAGGATGAGAAAGGACTGCAGTTTCGGGGATCAATCGAGACCGAAAAGGAAATTCGCCTGGTAGTGAGTGGATTTGCGATTGGACTGATGGAAATATTGAAAGGTCATTGATAAATTGACTAAACACTTCTTTTCGTACTAGATGTCCCATCAGGAAGGCAAATTTTGATTTTTGTAATTAAATCAATTTCCTCTATTTTCTCATCACTGAGCTGGATTCATTCCAGGAAACGATCCAAGTGAAGTCGAAATTGAGATGGGAAATAGGTCGCCCCGTACAGGCTCTCCCATGTCTATCCCCGCCAAGGATCATCCTTACAACTATCTACCTGCATCCGCCAAATCGTGTATAACACACTACACCGATATCTTCACATCTCCCGGAAAATCATTTCCACCGGGGCTCCCCGATCATATCGGTCCGACTATATAGTGCTTATTCACAATACTTACCACCGAGAAAACAACACCAACAGTGGATCGCAAGATGCTTGATTTCACCAAAGCAACAAAAAATGGAGCAATAAGCATATGTTTTACGCTTATGTGAAGTGAATAGTGACAAGGAACTTCCCTCCACCGATCAGATTACCTTAAGTAAAAACATAGCTGACCTAAGCCTCCTATCCGCAAACTCACTCACACGTAAATTATCTTACCTATATACGTACATAGCTTTCTGAATAAAACCACTCACAAACCCCCATCTCCACCTCCTCTCCCTCCTACCTCCGATAGTCCTACAACAAGCACCTCCAACTCTACCCTTACCCCACTCCCACCGCAACAACCCCAAATTCGGCCCGAGATCCAACCCTAACCCTCGGACCTCAAACCTCCGCGTCGGATTCGCTTTGGGCTCTGGCTCGCAAAGAGGCGAAAGCGGTGTGTCGTCCTCTCTCGTCCGATGAGCGAGAGTTGTGTAGGCTTACGCCGGAAGACGGGTGTTGTTGGAATCGAAAGTCGGCATGTAGGTAAAGTAAAGTAAGTAAGCTCACTACTTACCAGCGAGACAGGTGCAGAATACGCAATGGTGGTGAGGTGGCCTTGAACAAATTATGACATTTTTTTCCTGATAGGATACTGGCGGTAGTAGTAGGCAAAGCTGCAGCAAGTTTAGAATACAAATTGATGCACTTATTTTCCTAAATGCGTAAGTGTTAGCTCTCAATTACTACCCGCCTATCTCTTCTATTCTAGCACTCTAGTACATCCAACAGTCCAGACCCCATGACCATTCCACATAGCATCTCTCATTCGCCGATTGCGATGAGAAGTGGGGGTAGTAAGCACCGGGCGTCCCACCCTCCGATTGCCGACTAGGTGTCTGGATGGTTACATAACCCCATCACACCAGCTCTCCTCCCACTCCTTTGCAAAAAAACCCCCCGCGGGTTATAGCGTTAAACGTAGCGCGGGGTGGAGGCGTAACGCATAGCATAGCGTGCCATGAACGTCGCAATATGTACTTACAAAGACGTCATTTTTCGCCGCTGGCGGTGTTACCCTGCCCACACCATATCACATTGACCCGTACATCTACAACTATTCTTGCACAGGACCGAGCAGCGCAAAACCGTTGCAATGTCACTCCCACCACTACCCTCCACGGCAGTTGAGCAAGAAGAAAGCTAAACTGAATTTCCCCCCAAAAACAAACCCAACAATGTTACTCCTCGCAATTTCGCTCTTGCATGTGTTGTCTCCCTTTCACTAAGTAAAAAGAAGTTACCACAGTGCAGTCCTCATCAAGACCACCAAAAACCCATCTTCCTCTACTCTTCACACACAAAAACAAAACAAAACAAAACATGTGTAGATAAGCTTACCTATAAGACACACATAAGCCCCACATCTCCATCTCCATGTCCATTTCTCCCTCCGGTCCCCACCACCACCACCACCACCACCCCAGAACTACACACCTACGTCAAACTTTCCCCATTGAGAAAACCAAAATACCCAACCTCTCATGTTTCTATTTGCATACACACACACACGCCCGGGTATGCGAGCAAATCGAGCAAGAGAGCAAATCTCAGACATACAAAAAAAACTAGCCGCACTAGTACTCTAGGCTATGTGTGTGTATATATGCTTACACAGTATCTCGAGTGAACCCCAGCCCGCAAACAAGGGGCGCG